GGCTTCCTTTGGGGGTCTCTTCCCGTGAGGTCCGATTAATCGGAAGCGTTTTGCAGCCGCCAACTTCATCAAAATCCCATCCGCAGCTGCGTCGGCTCTCACAGCTGTTTCCGCGGAGACCACGGTACTCGTTTCAAGTCAGGAAATCAAGTGAAGAGCCACTGACTCTCTTATATTGTCCTTTTTTTTTTTTAAGTCTTTTACGTTGAACCATACTGAAACTCGCAGGGAGCCAGCAGTGGAGACTGTAGCGTGCAATGTTAACAGCGAGGATCGATAACCTTTGCCACAAGGTGTCTGAATCCCGCCGTATCATTCGCGAAATCAAGAACTTGGCTCAATCCGAGGAGAAGATACCGAGAGTAAAAACAGGCAGATCTGTTGTGAGCAAAATTAAAAACGAGCCATTTTCCATGTAACAGAATCCTGGACACAATTAGCTATGAAGGTATCATTCTTTATTGAATTATCTTAAAATAGAATAGGATTTAGTTCCTGAAAGTGACAGACATGTATTGTGGACCGGCTTAGGTTTTGTATAGATGACTTGCGAGAATAGCCATATTGTGGGGCTGTGCATCAGAACCGAGTACCCGACCGTTAATGTCGGGAACCGTTTCTAGATTATGGGATCGGGTACCCGTAACCAATCCGTAACGTTTGAGAGATTAATCCATTTGAATTTCCAGTCTTCGGTGCACTGTAAATAGCCAATAATAAAATATGTATCTGCCACTGTTGGTACTCAGTGTGCTACATTATCATTAGCCGTGCTCTAATGTAGCGGTCCCATAACTCATTCATAACGCATCTCTGCTCCCTGAAGAGTATACAGATGTGTGCTGCTATTTCAGAGCCAACAGATCATTGAAATACAGTAACCATCTTTAGTCTTCACTGTCTGGTGGGGAGAAGCGAGTAGCAACATTTCATTCTGGAAGAAGAATATTTTTGAACCTCAGAGAATGATGAAGAAAAGTCCCTTACGTGTTTGGGGGGGGGGGAGAAGGAATGTTTGTATGAAGATAGTGTCTGTCAAGTCCCAGAATGAAAAGAAATAAGCTAAATCTTCCCTTTGTCTGTGAGTAATACATTTTTGTCTGACCAAAGGAAAAAGGCATTTAAGTATAAACAAGATGTGAAACCTGGTGAAATTGGGGTTTGCAGATGCAGCCAAAAATTCAAACAGAAAGACAGAGTGACAGACAAACCTTTATATCTTGTGTGCATGTGGCACTCTGTTCCAAGATGTACTTCACCCAACACTCCCTTCAGCCAACACTCCCCCGTGCAATTTAATGCTGATTCCTCGACCTCGTTTGGCGAGGGACATCGTCATGGTTGGGATTGTCTGTAGGATATCCGAGCTGATGATAGCGTCCGTTTGCCACCGTTACATAAATCAAACACTAAGTGCATTATCCTGCGCTGTACCAGAGCGATCGCATTAACAGTGGCCCTTGGCTTCATCAACGAAGCCAGGTCACATCAAGATTGCGTTGGACTTTTGCTTTTCCAATTTGTGAAAGTTTTGAAGGAAACCATGTGGGTCAATGTTAAGGGTTTGTTCTATTTGTTTTAGGTACTTTAACTCAAGTCAAGGACTATTACATTTTTGTGACTGTTGCTATTTAAAAGTAATAAACTATTATCATTAATTATTATTCCTGGTAATGAAACCAAGGATTCCTCAAAAGCACCTCTAGGCACTGTAGCTCGTAAGCCTGAAGAAACCCGTAGAGAGAAGACAACGAGAAGAAATTACAGTTTTAGAGGTGGGAGGAAAACCCCAGAAGAATATTCTAGGGTAAACCCACGGAATCGGGCAGGCACTGAAAAACCAATCCACATATTGGCCCAGTTGGGATTTGAACCTGGGTCACAGCGGTGGAAGGTGATGAAAGAACGGCTACGCCAAACACCTTGGTTAAATATCTTTTTTTTTTCTCCTGGCAGTAAGCATGGACTTTGTGCACAAGTTTCCCTCAACGGCTACAAAGGGAGAGTGGACTCAAATGTATTGCAGATGGGCAATTCCACGGTTACTCACGTTACATTTTCGTAACGTGAGTAACCGATTTTGTGCATCTTGTTTATCATACATAACACATTTCTCTGGATGTCATCTTTGGTACTTAGGTACTACTCTATCTACCATGGGGATAACAGTTATTAAACCTTTTCAGTAAGGTAATTACAGCCCAAGGAAACTCAAAAGTACATCAAAAATGTAACGTGAGTAACCGTGGAATTGCCCAGATACTGTTCATGCACAGGGTCCATAACTTAGCTCACATCAAAAAGCTACAGAGCAAATAGGCTAGATCCTGAAGGATAATCAGTCATATGTAAATATTGGTCGGGGAAACGTATATATCGACCGACGATCCTATCTCTTTAAAATGCCAAAATCTGAATACTGCTACACATTCTCCCGAGGATACAAAGTCTGTGACAATGCCACTTAGCGCCCCAGCACAGATCTGCTCTGACTGGGGACTTAACCTACATATTCTCAGATATGGATCCCTCTTGAAGCTACAAAAATTTGCATGTAGATTGTAGAAATGTCTGTAAGGGTTCTTGTTTTTTAACTGATGAGAATATAGACTGGTTATAAGCAACACTGTGCTACCTTCAAATCAGTAATGCCTGGGGCTCAGGTTATTCATTAATCTGAACATAGTCTTCCATCTTTGGATGGGACTCTGAGAACATGAGAGCATGTCAAGGCAGCTTATTGCCCTGATGAACTCTGTTATGGGGCAAATTTCCTCTGCACCAGTGTTGAGTCCAGGTACTTACGATGGATCACAAGTACATCACAAGCCTGGTTACACGAGTAAATCACAATTCAATTCACTAGTCCAGTCACATCAAGTAACAGGTGATTCGCAATGACAAAGGAATGCCTTTGTCACGGATTATTGTGATACTTGGGGCTGGATGACTTGTGACAGACTTTTGATGACTTATCCACAAAAAAAAGTCTCCGGTTTCAATTATGCGGGTGCGTCGCAGTAGCCATGCACGTCGGCAAAATGAAAAAGGTGGGTTTTTTTTCAATTTTAGATGATGTCTCAAAACCGCCAAACTCACTGGTTTGACTGGAATCCTGCTGCTGCACAATTTTAACGTATTTTTAGATGGGGCTCCGATCGAGTATAAGCCTTATGTGGCCTCTCATGACGTCCATATATTTTGCACTAAATTTAGTCTGGCACCATTTGCAGTCCTCAGCCGACATTCGAAGAAAAAAAAAGTTAGACAAAAAAGCCGTGTCACCACATCACTTTTGGGGCAAGCTCCATACTAGAAACCGGAGACTTTTTCGGGGGGGGGGGGGGCCTTATGGTCAATTGTGATCCATCACAAGTGCATCATGTATACATGTACATTTGTAGGTACTGCGTGCCTCATCTAAACTGACAGTGCAGTCAGTCAGAGTGCAGGTGATGAAGTATCAAAATGCAATTACCATTCATATATACCAAAAACAGTTTGCCAATTACTGTTGGTTTAGAGCCCGTCTCATGGGTGGTTTTAAACCGCCGGTTATACACTGCTTTGTTCTGCGCCACATCACGCAGTACGCAACACGTGCACGACAATTTCCATATACATGTAAGGAGATTTTTAGCACTGTGCGCGCGAGGCACATACTAAACATGGCCAGAGGGTTGTTTCACAAAACATGAAGTAAAATTGTTGAACAAAATCGTTGGGAATTTTTGACCTGTTTTGACTTTTTGACCAATTGGTATTTATGAATGGGAATTTATTCCCTTAAGGAAGCCTCAGAGGTTAGGCAGCCCAATAGGTAGGGTAGTGGTACAGTTTTCCGGAAGTGGCAGGTTTAAATCCTGCTCTACTCAATTTCTACATTCCAACTTAAATACTCAGATCTCCAGCTCAGGTTTTTATTCACTTTTTGACTCGCAACACCCTCTTGTGCTTTGAACTCGACGCATTCTTTGTCTGCACATTGAGAGAGTCACTCTTCCACGTGTGTCTAATTTTATCCATTGATCTGCACAGCCCAATGTGCCAGCAACAAATTTGTAAGCCATACTTTGGAGATCGTTAGAAGCAGATTCTACCTTGACATTCCATTCATACATACAGGGCAATGGCGGCATAATTTCTTTGAATTTATTAATGTACATAGTTCCTTCTCTTCCCCACCAGAGAAGTCTGGATTTGATCATGTTCGTGAAGGACAGTTGTTGAAATTTTGATTTCTTTTCAAACTTCGAGCATTTTGGATAAGGTGACTGCTTTTAGTGGATGCTTCCCTGTACTTAATGTAGTGTCATTACAAACAAATAAAGATGATCTTCATATATCTTTTTTCCCAAAATGAAAACTCTATCATTCATGTTTATTTCAAATGAACTTTATTTTGCATGAGCTTTTGAATCTGTAGACTTTTCCTATTGAAGGAAACTCGATAGAATGGTTGTGATAGCTGGAACTAAACTTGATTTTAAATCTTTTGGAATAAAAAAATAAAAGTGGTCAACGGTTGTAAGAAAGAGCTAGTATAATAATAACATACAAATACAGTAATAACATACAACTAAGGCTCAAAATAAAGTTCACAATCTTGAGCATAGTTAATATGCAGTGCATAAATATAAGTTTACAGTGTCATACAGATGTATGCACTAGGACGTAACTTTATTTTGAATGTACACAACAGCCATGTTGTTGTTTTTGCCGTTCAGGTTATATTTTCATATTCAAGTTTTTGAACCTTTGGAATTTATACAACTAAGGCTCAAAATAAAGTTCACAATCTTGAGCATAGTTAATATGCAGTGCATAAATATAAGTTTACAGTGTCATACAGATGTATGCACTAGGACGTAACTTTATTTTGAATGTACACAACAGCCATGTTGTTGTTTTTGCCGTTCAGGTTATATTTTCATATTCAAGTTTTTGAACCTTTGGAATTTATTTGGCCATTTTCTTTTTTGTATTGTTCTTTTCTGCAGTGCAAGAGACTGTATCAAGGCGGCCATTCTAGACAACGACTTCATGAAGAACCTGGAAATGTCACAGATTCAGGAGATTGTAGATTGCATGTACCCAGTAGAATATAGCAAAGACAGCTGCATTATCAAGGAGGGAGATGTGGGCTCACTCGTCTACGTCTTGGAAGGTAAGCACGGCAATGTATTGGGGGTGCTAAGTAAAAACTGTTGCTGAGCAAATGAATAACATGAATTTTCCCTCTTCAAGAAAAAAAAATGGAACATATCAGGAAAAAAACAAAAACAATTTACTTGAAGCATTCTTTGCACTGCAATGTGGAATTTGGCACGCGACTTGTTCACATGCAACTCAAATTTCCTACTTATATTTATATGATTATATTTCTGAATCCCACGTGGTTGATTTTAGCAATTTAGGATAAAAGATTTGTGATAATATGCCATGTCTGACTTTTACTTCTTTTCTTTGGGGTACACTTTCCAGTCAGGTTTTCTTGTGCAACTTGTTCATGTGCAACACAAATTTCCTGCTTTTGATGATATTTCTGAATCCCACGTGATTGGTTTTTATCAATTTAGGATAGAAGATTTGTGATAATATGCCAAGTCTGACTTTTACTTCATTCCCTTTGGGGAATAATACACACTTTCTAGTCGGGTGTTTCCATGTACGTGGACTTCTGCACGTACGACACTGCATGGAGTCGTCATAAACTGATTATCTTGGTTTAAAATGTGTCAGATGTATTGTTACACCTTTCACGTCTTGTTATCTCAGTGAATTACATTTGGGAGAAATCTACATGGATATGAAAACTCATAATTCTGATAATCAAGTTATCTGTGTAAGTGGGAATTCACATGTACTTTTTAGGAGGTTGCTTTTATTGAATGAAGACCTTTAATTTTAATAATGAAATAGTTCATTTTCTTTAGTTTTCTGTTTAAATGAGGGAGTTTATAGGAGTATTTTATGGGGGGGGGGAGGGAATGTGGAAATGGTTTTCATATTTTTTTAGTCCAAAATTTAAAACCTCTTGCTAAAATGCATCAGTACGGCAGTACATTTTAGGTAAACTTGTTCGTTCTGCAACAGGTTTTCCTGCAGTGTATCTTATATTGTTTCAGAGTCGGTGATGTTGCCATTTATTTTGACATTTCAAAATACAAAACTGTTTCTGATTATATAGAAATATATCTTATTGTTTTTTTGAAACCAGGACATAAATTTAGCCGGAGTTCCATCAAGGGCTTAAGAAATCGCCCAGAGCCGATGATGAAACCAAGATTTTGGAAATATGTTTAAAGTCTGGTTCCGGGATAGTAGTTTGTGCGCTACATATAGTTATAAAACCACGAGGTGGGAGTCAGTGAAACGGTGTGTATTTGTACGCAACAAGTGGCCACAGCTTGATTGGTAACACAAAGTACGCGAACATCAATAACTTTGTATTGTAATTAACTTAAGTAACCGCAAATATAAAATTTGCACAGTTTCGGGACTCGAGTGTTATTAGCCTTCAACTTGAGTCGAGTCGAGCCTTCTGATGCATGAGGGACTCAAGTCGAGTCGAGTCATTTGCTGGCAGTGACTCAAGTCAAGTCGAGTCAGTTACCTAATGGGACTCAATTCGAGTTGAGTCACCAAAAATTGTGACTCACTTCGGATTCGAATCGAGTCATTACGACTCTGATGTTTATAAAAATACATCCGTGAAAGGGCAAAACCCAATATTGAATTTACTCAAGCCTCCAATCGCCCCTTGCATATTTTTTTCCTAAATTTCAAGCAAATTTTAGTCTTCAGTGTGATTTTTGCGTCCATTTGAATTTTATATAAGAAAGACATTACCACAGTATACACCGAACTGCGCTCTAACATCAGGCAACTGTAGGGAAATCAGGACTTGACTTTTCACATTTATTATTCCCAGCGTCTGTAAGACTTCCAATTTTCGAGTTTATCAGTCCTCCAGGCACCCCTCAGAAATCCATTCTAGTGTGTCCACTCTGTTATTAGATTTGCAACAATTTTTGGCTTGCTCTCAAATGTCATCAGCCTAGGAGAGCGGGCTCCGTTTTCCCATGTTTTCGCCACTGTACGCGCCTGCAATTGATGTCTGCTTGCGTGTATGGAGACAGAGGTCATGGGCCACTGCAAAAGTTGGAAATTCATTTGTAGCGCTTGCAAGATCTGTGGGGAGATGACATTATAGGTGTGGATAACATGTGCCAATACATGCGTATGCAGTATGTTTTTTGAGAAAACGATATATTGGGACTTGTTGAATCAGGAAAACTCTCTATCTTGATGCGTACACGTAGTTGGATTTGCAACTGCTTCTGTTTTACCACATTTGCATGTGTGATAGGCCACCAATACATGTACAACACACATACCGGTATTTTACAACTGTACATGCAGCATTATATTGTGCTTAATATATTGGGTTTTGTCCTTCATTGAGTAATAACCAACATACATGTGTACTCAATCTAAAATTTACCTTCCCGATGCAAGTTTCATCAGACTGACATTATTTTTTCGCAAGCACATGAGTCTTACTGTCTGACCATTTAACGGCCATGCCCCCCCCCCCACCCCTGCTTTTCGAACTTGCAATGGCCAGCCGGCACCTGCGGTGCTTATGCCCCCCCCCCCCCCACCCCCACTTTCAAAACTGTTCAACACCCGCTGTGGCCATTGCAGTGAGTAAGAGAGTTTACTCAACTGTCTAGGTTAAAAAATATCTTAAAGGTGTCCAGCTTTACTTTGTGGTCATAAATTACCTACATGGAACGTGGCCAGTTGAGGCAACTTGCCTGTTGTGGCCAACTCTACCGGTACTTTGGGGTTGTTTTGACTTCATGTTTGGCTTAGGTTTTAAGTACTTCAAAATTTGCAATTTCTGTCACTACCGAAGGATGCTATTGCAATAAAGCATTGTATGTGTGCCTGTTACTAGACTTAATTAGACAGGCTGGACGGCTCAGATTTAACATTCACACATCAAAGAACATTCAATGTCTTCCTCTTCCCTTGCTCCCTGGGGGCTAAAGTCATTAATTGCCCCAGTTTTCCATCCATGGCACTTACCACTCAAATCCCTTCTCAACATTTAAGAGAAGGGGGACAAACAACTGCTTTGTCGTCAGTCATAACAAGCTCGCCTGGTAAGAGGAACAACATTGCTCACTGGTAAGAGGAACAACATTGTAATACGCTGTTCATCTTGTCGAATGAGGCTGCATAAGATGTTATTAAATCCCCTGATTAATTTCCTGGGTGAGTGGTTCATAGCCGTTTTTTTTTTTTTTTATATGCCCATGTGGAGTGGGCCTGAGCAATCGTTCTGCCCTAGTCGGCTCCCTTCAAAGGACAGTGTTGGAACCGGCCAACCCATCGATGCATGCTGCCGGAGTCAGAGATGATATGGTTTGGGAGTGTTACGTGCCCCAGCGGCTTGCCCTCTGGACGCTAACATTACTGCCAATTAATCTCCGGGATTTTTTTAATGTGTACTTACGGCATCATGGCGGGGAACGCTGCACTCTTCAAGTCGGTTCACCGAAAAGAGGATGATGAAAGGCTAAAAGATTAACCGTTAAACAGTTCAGTTCGGTAATTGAGTGAAATATGTTGGAGGGGATTACTGTTTGGTGTCTAGCATGATGTTTGCTGATGATGCAGCTGTTGCATACATGTATGTGTACATGTTGAAATGTATGCAAAATTGACATAATACCAATGAAATCCAGCATTACATTTTCATACTATTATCGAATTAAGAAATTTGAAAGCATCACACAGTACGTGGTGGGGGATATGTTTCTTGCTTTACATTCACTCTATAAGTTATACATGTACTATATGTATACATAGAAGCCAGCATTTTCTGTGTCTCCGAAATTCATCATCCAGATTGGTTAAGAATAAGTCTGGATGTCCAAACTGTTCAACACCAAAAATACAACGGAGAAATGTTAATGCTTATTGTGCTATCCAAAACAAAGCATCCCGTAATTTAACTCTTTTTCGTATGTTTGATTTGGAAAGGAGCAAAATATTTGGGATTAGGATTCAAATACATGTACATTGGCCCAATTTGGGGTTCATATACATGTATATACACATTCTAAGAAGATTATAAGATTCATGCTTATTACTCATTGGAAGGAATGTAACTGAATTCCTTCACCACCTCGGAGACGCATTTTCAATCACCACTTCTGAGAAACTGTCTCCTGGTAACCCTATCTCAGGGATCTGGAGTTCACATTCTTGTTGAATTAGGTACTCACATGTTTAGTGGTGAACATGTACAATGCATTTCACACACTGCTCATAAAACTGGTAGCCAAGTTTAAAACAGTATGTACTTTGGTATTTTGTTTATATTGGCAAGGCATATACCGTATTCAGATATCAAGTAGAGGAGGCAAGTAGGGCAAAGTGAAAATCACACCTAGCTCTCATTGTAAAGGGAGAGGGGGGGACTACACAATAGGCTGTACAGCCCAAACCGCCCTGCCAGTTACTCCTTGCTCTGCCCAAAACCAATCCCCACAATTATACGTTTTTTTATAGATTCATCAGGGAACAAATACAATTTAATGTAATGAAATGTACATGTAGGTGTTAGGACTTTAACAACATTAACAATTTGTACATTTCCATGCATAATTTTTATTGATCGATTCAGCTAGATTTCAAGAGCCAATGATGAAACACGTCAACGTATATTTACAATAAGAAATTTCTAGACGAAAAGGTGAATTAGACATTGAAATATATATTCAGACACGTGCAAAGATTTCAAGTTGAAAACGTATACGGGTACTGGAGCTTGATAACAACTACATGTATATGGTTTTATCTTGGTTTTATTATTTACCTCATTCAAAAGGTGTTGCAAAGACAATTACTGGCGAGTACCGGTACATGTGTACATGTATGAACAAAAGTGCAACCAGTATTTCCCAGCTTCAGCCACAAGCATTCATATCGGGCAGCTAAGTTATCTTCAAATTGCAGAGGAAGAGAGCAAAGGATCTTTCCTCCTTTGGGATGCGATTTCTCAAAGTTCATCATTGGTGCAGCCCCATCCCCAGTCAGCCAAATTTGTTTAATTTTCAAGGGATTTTGTATACAGCGGTCAAACAGCAATCGGTAACTGGAGAACGCTGTTCAAACTTGAAATGATTGATTTCGTGCGAGTAAGCAGCCCGTAATTGAGCGATAGAAATTCAACCCATATTTTAGGCTGTGTACTTTTACCGCCCCCTATAAGAAAATGCGGCAAAGTCTGAGCCTTGCAGAGGAATCTACCTGCTATTTGGGATGATAAATTGCCTTGAGTTTCTCTGTCTGGGTAAATAAAGTAGTATTTACTTTAATAATTGCATTTCTTGACATGTAGAAAGTATTGCATCTAAAGGTAAAAGGGGATATATTTGGAGTCATATTTGTTTTGAGAGGTACAGCAAGCAACACATGTGCAGTATGCTGTACTAAAATTTTGCTGAAAATGTATACAGAATTTAATCAGTTCCGTTTAGAAAGGGTACAGTTAAACGCCACTATAACGAACATCACACAATCCACAAAAGCTGATCAGAACAGCAATAGTTTGGTATGTTGAGCCGCCGGTATTTAAAATGGAGCCTGTTCATGTAAATGAAATTCACCCTAGTTGGTAGCTGGTATCTGACTATCCTTAAATTTTATAGGTGAATGCAGGTGAGTTGGAATGTACCTGACCTTTCTACTCTGTCTAGCCTACGAGTAGTTAATATTTGGATGTCAGTACCGATCGGCCGCTGCATCTATCTTAATTGTCTTGTACTTCATCATTAGTATAGCACGCCATGATTGGACAAGAACGATGTTTGTGCACAGTGTCTGGATTAAGCCTTAATTGGGACACAGGTGCACTTGCTGAAGTGGCATCATCAGAGGCTGAATTTTATAGCTCAGTCAATTTATTGGTTCAACAACAAGGACCAAAATTGCAAGGCTTTTATAAAAATGTACTCAGAGACCAACTTTGAATCAGAAGTTACTGTGATGGTAGTATGTACATATGTACATGTATGCTCTTCGAGATTAAAGTCATGGGTATTATACATGTACATGAAGAGACTCTGGAGCTATTCAATATTCAGTTAATTTGTGAAAATTAAATACAGAGTATACAAAGTTGCCAAAAGGACATGGGTTTATGGTAAAGCAGTGGGAAATTTTAATACAGATTTTGCTCTTTATACTGACAAGAAATTGAAATGAAAGGCAAGTAGAGTTCCTGGTCGGGTTGTAGGGCAAGCTTTGGTTTCTTGTTGTGCCATACATCACAGAGGACAGTCGCTAGTACTCCTTCCTACCAAGAACTACAGCAGAATGGAACCACCTCCTAGCATCTGTGAGAGAGGCCCCTTCACCTGAATATCTACTGAAACTAAACTTGTCGAGTATAAAATAAAAAGCAGAGCTTATTATTAGTGCCCCCAGCCACACACACCTGCAACCTATACATCCCATAAGGGGAGATTGCTTGCAGTATTGATCCAGATCCAGAATACATGGTACAACATGAAAGCCTGTTTATCAAGTGCATCCTCACTTTTATGGCAATTCTGATGAGAAAGCTCCTGGTAGAGGGTAGTCCAGGGTGGGATCAGTCCAAGGGGTGAGAGGGAACAAAGACACAATCCAGGGTATCAAGAAGGTATTGGTGATGGCTTATGTTTAGGTAATGACCACAGGAACAATAGAACACCACTAGTTGTTTACTTTGAGTGACGCACCCTTTGTGTTTCCCTGGAGCATTTTCCCCACTCCATCAACCATGGCTTTCTTTCCACCTGAATAACTTCTTGCACAATTCATGTACATGTACCCATCAAGATGTAGTGTGCATTCAAGTACAGTATGTGCAGTTTATACAGGAGCTTTGGCTGTGTCTATCTGCTGCTCGAGCCCTATTGGAAATGTACACGTAAGGCATTATTCAAAGTATTAATCTTTCTTGCTTTTGCTTTGTCTTTTGCAACTTTTTTCTAAGTTTAAAATTTCGGGGTCAGAGTCGAAAGACTTTCTGTACCTTTCTGATGGCCACAATTTAAGGTGGTACTGATATTTAAACATAGGTCATAGTTTAAAATCTCTCAAATGAGTTTCGCATTGTGTTTAGTTCACTCTTCTGGACCCAATCTCATGGAGATGCTGAACAAGATATCACTCAATGTCCCATATGCAGAATGATGCTGTGAACAGTGGTGTAGCATGAAACTTTTCATAGGGGTTACTGACGTTTAAGCCATGCCCAAGTGGGCCCGTAGCTGAGCGGTTAGAGCGTGGGGCTATTGAGTGGAAGGTTTGCAGTTCGAATTCCATTCAGACTAAAAATTGGAAAACTCTCTCTGATGACCCAACAGTGAAAACAATGGGTACCTTATGCATTCAGGGAAGGTAAGACGGCGAGATTAGAGGAGATTGGCACCGCCACCTCATATGCCGCACCTGTTGAAACAGTGGACCATCTAACATCCCACTGCCCCTACGTCGGCTATGGGATACCTCTACCCTTAAGTGGGCCATGTGCAGAAAGCGTTTTCAGCACGTTGATCAGATGCGTGGTTACTCCTCCCTCCCCCCCCCCCCCATCTTTTTTTTTTTTTACATATACAGTGTATGACATTTTACGTGGTATTGCTGTAGTAAATATATTCTGTGCTCAGGGAAAAAAAATTGGCTGAGCATCTCTTTGGAATTGCTGGATGGAGTGAGGTGTTTTGTATTCTTTAAATCTGATTTCTGATGCATCAATGTATAGCAAATATTATTTGGGATTCAGAAACTTGGCGTCAGGAGTGTTCAGAAATAATTCAGTGAAAACAGTGCGACACCAGGGGAAATAATCTTTACTTTATAGCAGACAGCCGTATGTCATGTATTTGTTCACATCGGGTGAGTGAACTTGTTCAGATACCTATTTTGTTTCTGTGATTAGATTGCTCAGCGCTCGTCTCTGCTTTGTGAAAAAAAATAATATGTGGGATTCGTTTGGAGTCACTTTGCTTCTCAACTACCAACCCCCAGATTTGTCAGACGCCGACAGGCTGCAGTTCTCCTCCTTTAACTGAAAACCATTCAGTATGATGACATGTGACATGTATAAAAATGGAGCATAATTGTTGTTAAAAAAATATAGTGGTTAAAAAAAACTTAGTGGAGAAAAGAAACACCAAAAACAAATGGTCTGGTATCTGTGCTTTTTCTCAACAGATGGTAAGGTGGAAGTGACGAAAGACGGCAAGTTCCTGACTACCATGGGCAAATGCAAGGTGTTTGGAGAGCTGGCTATTCTCTACAACTGCACAAGAACAGCAACAGTTAAAGGTAAAAAAAAAACCAAGTACTTCCACTTCCACACTCTACGTGGCGCTATATGGTCTGTGAGCGGAATCGAAGTCGCCAAAACGCTTAAAGAGGTTGTGGAATGCTCGAAGTCATTTCCGTCATTTTTCGGGGATATGTAGCCTAAGGTGTGATGAAATAAAAACGACTATTGTTTCTGTCATGAAATGAGTACAAAAGGTACTTTTGAGAGCTGTTTTTCAAGTCCTGTCATGCCTGTTTCGACTCGAACCTGCAATTTGTGTAAAAGTCGTCGTTGCGGGCAGCAAACAAAACACAGTAAATCGTGACGTAATAAACAGGACTCCCGATGCAGAGTAGCATAAACGAGTCCTGTTTATTACGTCACGATTTACTGTGTTTTGTTTGCTGCCCGCAACGATGACTTTTACACAAATTGCACGTCCGGGTCGAAACAGGACCTGAAAAATAGCTCTCAAAAGTACTCTTTGTACTCATTTCATGACAGAAACAATAGTCGTTTTTATTTCATCACGCCTTAGGCTACATATACCCAAAAAATGACGGAAATGTCTTCGAGCATTCCACAACCTCTTTAACCCAAACAAGAAACATGTTTCAGTATTCTGGTCCCAAGAACAACCACCCAAATATTATGTTTCCCCCAAAAACATCCCCCCCCCCCCAATTTTTTTAACAATTTAGTGTTATGTGAGGTTGTGAATTGGCTCTGATGCGTGTGACACATGCCGGATGCGTGAGACTTACGTCTACTGTAGAAAGCTTAGAATTTGATTTGCTATTTTGTCTGGTGGAAGTCTTGCATCCTCATTTAAACTACTCCCGGCAAATGCCATCTGTCCGTAAACTGGGTCAGGTGATCAGAGCTGACGCCTGGAACCTCAGGACCACAGCCTGAAGAACTGGAATCTGATATCAGGCTCACTTTCAGTGTCGCTTGCCCCCAGTTGATGTTTCACTGCCTGGTCATTCGCGCTCTGTCCCTGTACGTTGTAATGGAATATTGCCGTGTTCCAATCACATTGTGTTTATCGTGTTCACGGTGAAATACTCCTTGTTCTCGAGTGGGTTGCATTCTAATGCTACTCACCAACACGCACAGGCCTTCATGCACATTGACCCTGCTGGTATTTTTGTCAAGCCGTGAACTCGAGAAGAAAATTCCGCCTCAAGTTCACCACTGGTGAATACGAGTTTACCAGACGATAAGAACGCTGTCATAGGACTAGTAAACTCATGATAAACATGATGCTATTGGAACACAGCATACATATATGCAGCGGATACGTTATCTGCTGCCCCCTACCACCTCCTATTAAAAAGCCTAATTGAATGCAGCAAGCCGTTGACACTTTTTTTGCCGGGGAATCCTCACCTGTTTTTACAGGTGATACATATCACATACTGCCATGTCAGATATCCTGATGTTATCTCACCCCAGACAGAGTGGGGTTCCTGTACGCAGTCACTCATTGTTTTTGTTAAATTTTGTTGACAGCTTTAAAAATATGAACATTGAGAGGTGAACAAGTACATGGTTATGCTTTTGCAAGGCTACTTGTAGGTTAGGCCAAAAAAAAACAGTCTCCGGTTTCTGGTATGCGCACCCGTTGCTGTAGCCATGCGCGTCGGAAAAATGAAAAAGTTTTTTTTTTCAATGAAAGATGATGTCTCAAAACCGCCAAACTCACTGGTTTGACTAGAATCCTACTGCTGCACAATTTTAACGAGTTTTTAGATGGGGTTACAATCGAGAATAAGCTTTATGTGGCCTCTCTGGAATCCATATATTTGTACTAAGTTTAGTCGGGGCACCATTTGCAGTCATCAGCCGACATTTGAAGAAAAAAAAACGGTAAAAAAAAAAGCCGTGTCACCGTCCCACTTTTTGGGGAAGCTCTATACCAGAAACCGGAGACTTTTTTTTGGCCTTATGTGAAACAGTGTCATACATGTACAAATTTATTTACCTCATGGCCATGTGTATCTTTGCAGTGCTTATATTTTTCAAAATGTAAATGTGACATGTCATCACAAATTGAGCTGAAAGTCAAGCGTTTTAAGAATTGAGATATTTATTTATCTGGATTCTGCAGAACAAGAGCTCTCCAATGGTATACAACATTAAGGGATGCTGAGTTCAGTAACGGAAATTAAAGACCTCCAACTTTACTTAAAGTTGTAAAACTGATTCTTGAGAAAATGGCATTTAGAAATCATGCAGTGTTTCAGTGAAATGGTATGAACATAGGTTTTAACATACGTTATACAGAACACAAATAATTTTAGAAAGATTTATTTTATCAGTGTTGTGAACTTGTGACTTTGTAAATTTTTTGTCATAAATGAGATCCGAGTATGGTATTATTTGTCTCAGTTGTAGGTCAGTGGTACTTGTATCCACACTACTCCATCTCTGCATGAAGCCATGATAATGAACTGTATCGGAATTCCGTGACAGCTTGCTTTAATTTTAATGGTAAACTGAAATGACATTATTAGGTTATCTGTCTTGTAGGCCTAAAAGTTGTAAGGGGCAATGAAATGAAAAATTCAGAACCAATGTTGGTACCAAAGAGCTACACCCTAGCCCCCACCCCCCCCCCCCATCCCAAAAAAAAGTAAACTAAAAATAAAAAAGAACCAGTAAATACTGTTTCACCAAAAAAATCAGAAGATTCTTTGCAATTACATTTAAATATTTTAATGTTATATATTTTGTTACTTTTTTACACTTCATGGGTTTTTTTTGTGAATTCCACAACCCCACCATACAAATTGATTTTTGTCAAAATGAAATTCTTAGGATGCCACGTCATCATCCGACAGTAAACGTGATAGATGGCGGTCATTAATCAAAGATATCAAGCAGACATTTATCCCCCAGGATATCAGGTGCTGCTGATAACTTGACCATCATGTCTCGAATTATTAACGCCTTCCTCAAAGGATTCGCAAAAAAGTCTATCCGTCTATCTCCCCAAGTAAAGTAGAAATGTATGTTTATCATTAAGTTCATTGACTGTTACGTTCCACAGATTTGCTGTGTGCGCGCACTTCGTGAAGTTGCACGCATGATTCTGTTGGTTTTCCCAAACTGACATGCAGGCACTGTGGCAGAAATAGGCCCTACAATTCGGAGAAAACACTTTGAAAGGTTTTACAAAAATTTACTCCATCCATGGGTTATAGTTATAGAATCATTTAATGTAAAAATGTGTTAACTGGTAAAACACAATCTTGACTTTAACAGATGATCTTTTGATTAGAAATTCAATAGTTAAGACAGGTTTCAGTTCGCATAGGGAAAAATAGCGACTCTAGATTTTTGTGTCAGTTTGTCAAAACCAAAATTGTCAGTAATTTGTCAGAAAACTCAGGGTCCACCGGGTGTCAGTTCGTGGTGTCAGTGACAATTTCAGGGATTTTGAAGGAGGGAAAAGATTAAAGATCCCACACATCTCAGCATGATTTCAAAACACCAAAATATAGCTGGTTTGAAAATAATAAAGCTATACATGTACTTAAAATGCAAGAGAACTTTTTTGCCATGGAATAAAAACCGGTCGGATTTAAAGATTTTGAGTCCTGTTATTGCCCTGGGTGGGTTTGCCCTTATTTTGTCTACAAATGATGGCGCTCTGTGACATAGGATGATCTGTGTTCCTGAAACGATGATACTCACTACAGACATTGCCTTGCCAATTTCTTACATTCGATAGATGGAAAGACTGTAATTGTAGATGCGACGTGCCAGGCTGGAGATTCTGTTCCCTGCTCTTATTTCAAAGAGTTGACGGACAGAATGCAGCATTTACGCACAAGATTTATACAGGGTTGTTCTGGAAGCATTTATCAATGTATGCAATCAAGTATCACGATTGATGAAAAGCAAATGTAGGGACTATAGTGTTGAAAATGCTGTCAGAATCTACTGTGCTACCATGTAATTTTCGAGTTTTGGACTAATACCAATATAAGGTTTTGCCCTTCACTGTATACATCCCGAGTGAAAGTTGGAAAAATCACTCAGGTGGGACTCGAACCCACAACCTACTTTCTAGTGCAGACGTCTTACCAACAAGCTTGTGGGATCAGTTGGCTCGTTCAAATCTGATGTAGTAGCGGGTACCGCAGTGAAACTATTCATCAGACAAATTTGCAGGAGGTCGTTGGTTGAGTCCCACCCGAGTGATTTTTTCCAACTTTCACTCGGAAGGTAACACTCTCAGTATACAGTGTTTATAGGTTGGTGAAGGGCAAAACCTAATATTGATCAAACTTATTTTCAGAAAAATCAAGTACATTTTTTTGTAAGGTGTGTGTGAAGGAGAACATTCTGTTAAATAATTCACTTACACCAATGGAAAATTGTTGGAAATTTCACCTCCCCTTTTTTGGGAATGGGGATGAGAGAGGGAAAAAAGTAAGTATATTTCAGAGCTGCATTCCAGTTGCACAAAGAAAACTAACATTTGCCTGTGAAATGCAATTGCATATCAACAGAACGGCACGCATGCGACAGCAGCGGTGAAATATGAACTGATTTTTGACGTCTTGTGCCAAAGTTGAAATATTTGCCGGGCGCTGGAAATACCAAATTTGTTTACAGTAAAAATGCTTTGCCAAAAGCTAATGAGTTTTCTTTAAAAAGGGTTTTTCTTTAAGGAAATGAGACAGTCTGAGAATGATAAGTGAAAAGATGATTGGTGCTCTGTTCATTTGTATATCTGCCAGTAAAGTTACATTAATTTTAACAGAATGTTCAACATTTGCTTTTGCTGTAATTTTCAGAAATGGATGGATTTGGGGGATTAGTATTTTAAAGCCAATATTGTTACACTGACTTGTTTGAAGTTTTGGGTACGTAGATGCCAAAAAAAAAATCAATCCTGTTCCTGTAGTCTGGTTCCCTGACACCAATTAATAAAACAGAGCAATTTCTAGAAGTCAGGGAATTATACGGTCACGGAACCAGTCTACCTGTTCATAGGTGTGTAATCGATTGCAGACAAAATGCAGACTAACTAAATAATTATGATGAATTGGGAGCAGTATTTGGAAAAAAAGCCAGTTTTTTTCAAATGTCGGCTGAACAAATGTTGTATATTCCCTTTAATATGCATTTGTTTGTGTTATATACAGTATGATGACATGACCCACATACAACAAATTCATCATATCTGGAGTAAAGATGAGCCTTAAAAACATATTTCCATGTAATAGTTTTTTAATGTGCAACGAAAACAGCATTTTATAGCTCGTTAATTTCATTGCCATTGAAAGAAGGGGTAAAAACAGAAAATGACAGAAGATAGAGAGAGAATGCATCAGTACATGTTTGTAAGTTCAATCAAGAAACATTAGCGTGCTTCTTACAGTTTACAAATGCCAGCAAATTATGTTTCATTAGACTTTCGAGGTAAATTCACAAAACAGGCAGGCCGGCCTGAAAAGCTGTTAACAAACTGCACGATATTCACCTCTGGTGCAAAAAAAAAACAGAAAGACCTGCTCCATTTTGTTGTCCGTTGCTGAGTGATGAACTCTGGTCAGAGGAGTCGGTACCCTCTCTATACCGTCACCAGCCAGGCCGGGAATGCCGGGAATTTCAATCACTGCAATTCCAATAATAAACCGTCCTCCCTGATTTTTCCTTAGGAGCCAGTCCAGTTTAAAACCGGGACTGCAAATTGCAATCTGGGTTAAAATGAACTCAAGCTGTTCCCCGTTGCAGAGTTTTTTTTCTTTGGTTCTTAGTAACAGTCTTATGAAAGTGCGGGCATTTAAATGGCGTAATATAAACAGCCTTCTGTGATTCACGATCATGTTGCGTGCCGTATGGCCTTTTTGATGTCTGTTAGTACTGCTGTTTATTGACAGGTGTATCTCAATTGAGTGGCCATCAGCTTTCCGGCTCACGCGTTCATCTCTTACAATGCGATGTAAATTAAATCATTCAGTGCAGCCCCAATGCATTCATAAATGGATTCGTATTCGTAACTCTCACAATGCCATTTTTGATCCTAAAAAAGTTATTTTGCTTTAATATGAATGGACAGATAGTATTTACACCGTTGAATGCTGTTTTTTACCAAAAGCCCTCTTTTCCCACTCACCCCTTTGAAAATGACCAGTAATAGGGATAAACTTGGTCATTATAAACAATTTATCAATATTGCTGTTACCTTTAAGCAAAATTCATTGATACCTAAGATAGTTTACCCATTCCTTTTGGTCGAGATCCCGTCACGTGGTGATTTTAAACAGTTGATTAAACATCGACTGGTTTTAAAACACTTTTTTCCGGCACTGCCTCACGCGCTCGCCAATCTCCACATAAGGAGATTGTTAGTATTACTCGTGCAAGGCACATACCATAGACATAACTAGAGGGGTGTTTCACGAAGCATGAAATAAACTTGTTGAACAAAAACGTTGGAAATGTATAATTTGTGACTCGTTATGGCTTTCTGACCGAAAGGTTTATGAATGAGAATTAACATGTGCTTGGCTGGTATTAAACAACTATGTTTAACTGGTTAGGGGCCTGGTCCAGGCCCCAAGACAGTTTTAATCATACTTGTTTAAAATCGGCCAAGCACATATTTATTCCCTTATTAGGCCAAAAAAAAAATATTCAGTCTCTGGTCAGACCAAAGTTCCGGAATTGATGCGGCCACGCAGCCTTTTTTTTTTTTTTTTTGCTTTTTTTTTTTTTTTGCTTTTTTTCAAGCTTGGATTGTACAGACAAGGTGGGGTACTATTTTGCTTTTTTGGTGTCCTCATGTACATTGGTGTCTTCCATAATTTGCCTTGGTGCTCTCGATCATTTGCCTTGGTGCAATTTCCCATTCCTTGGTGCTCTTTGTTAAAAAAATTGAGGAGGTGCAAAAATAGAGGGCGCTGTTGGAGCTACCGTGGAACATTTTGGAAAAAAAAAAGATTGACGCGCATGATTAAAATCGACGCGCGCGCTGACCAGAGACCGACTTATTATTTTTTTTGGCCTTACCTCCGCCAAGGAGGTTATGTTTTCATCGGATTTGGTTAGTCTGTTGGTCGGTTTGTCTGTTAACAAGGCTGAACTTGTATTAATACATGTATTTGTTTACAAAGAATTGGCTGCTAATTGGCTGTTTATCTACCCCCCATCCATTTCTTTTTCATTTTTTCCCGCTGCAGCTCTTACGAACACAAAGCTATGGGCAATAGACCGACCATGTTTCCAGGCAATCATGATGAAGACGAGCCTGGTCCGGCAAGCAGAGATAGTAGACCTGCTTCACAAGTAAGTGACATACGTTATATGGAACCATCTTGGTCAGATTCCCAGACACCAACTCCACACAATCTCAATGGTTTGGATGATTCCTCGGAGGTGCCAGACTATTATTGACAGCAGTATAGCTCCAAGTCTCCCTTAACCCTAACTCCCTGCTGTCTTTTACTTTAGGTACTAGACCAAGTCCGCCAAAATCCAGCAATCACACTGCTTCCAATGCATGCTTTGCTTTAGGTCTCCAGGCCCATGTCCATCATGACCCATCAATATTTAGTCAAACCAGGCCTGCAGGACCAAGTTCCCCAAAATCCACCAAAATGGGAGCATGGATTTTGATGGAGCTGGGGAGGTTAGGTTTTAATCATACAATTAAACCCAATTGGCCTCAGCACCATTTTCTTCATTTCAACATCCTCTCTTCTTAAATTAAGGCAATATGGTTGACAATTAGGGTTTGACAATATTTTTAACAACTTCCTTTTTATGAAAACCTGTGATCCAACTTACAAAAAGCACTCTATACCACACGGTATGTCAGCTGGTAAACCACTTTTTTTTACTCTAAACGTTTCTCTGCTTATCCCTGTATATTTTTTAACAAAACTTTTGTTTCCTTTATGTTTTTTATAGAGTACAAATATTCCAGCATTTTCCAGAGGAGACGCTGAACAAAATAGCCGATGTCGTAGAAGAGGTGTGTAAACTCAACTATTTGACAGACTGTTACACAAATATTTGAACATTGAGCATGCAAATCTCCTGGTTTGGCACATATATTCAAGGGAAAGACTCGTAAATCCTGTTCCAAATCGCAAACATCTTTGATAAAACATGGGATTAGAATGGGCACAGAGCTTGCATGGAGTTTGCAGAGTTTACCGAAGGAATCCAAATATTTGGATAGAATGATTTGAAATTGAAGATACATGTACATGCATGAAAAGTGTAACCATCGCCGCGTAAAGCAGTCACACCAGGCGCGGATCCAGAAGGGGGGATAGAAACACCCCCCCCCCCTTCTCCCCCTGCTTTGACACCAAAAAAAATATAACAGTAAGTGCATCAGTAACAATGTGCTGAGTTACATCGGCCTGTCTGTAAAAATTGGACACAAACAAATATGGCGGGCCTGCAACCCCTCCCCCCCTGCAAAGATTCCTGGATCCGCCCCTGCATACTGATCTAATATTCGTCACTAATACAAGAAAAAGAAATCAAAAATTTTCTCAAGTTCTCTCTTTTTATGAAAGTGAAATCAGTTTCTCTCTGTTTAAGAATAAAATCCTTGCTTATCCCTCACCTTTACAAAACGAGGTACACAAAGTGCAAATATCCCATTGTAAGCCTACGGAGATCTAATGACACATTTAACGGTAACCCCATCCTTTCACTTATTGATAATAAGCCCGAGGTACTTGTCACATCATATAAATACCCATCATCTATCTGCGTTGCCTCGCGCTGGCAAAACCTTGCGTTTGAAAAAGGCAACCGTCTCTAACCCTCGCAATTGATCGACTGTAAAGTGGCAACATTTCTATGGCAGCCGCGTACGTGTACAATAATTGCTTTTCTCTTGTAACTATAACTGTCGCGTTCCATTCTTCTCATTTTCATCTGTGATGGTTGCCTTGGAGACGGCCAGATGCAAATCATCGGCTGGAATGATGGTTGCTATGCAAGCATTGTCAGTTAGATAATAAACCGGGCTTTATTTTTATTTTTTTTGTATTTGACTTTGCTTTTGTTGTGCGTGTGGGTGGAATAAATGCCTTATCAGCCATTCAGCATTTTAAATGGCTATAAGCAGCAGAAAAAAAATGAAATTTTCAGTTATTTGATGGCGATAAACACGATATCTCATTTCTCTGAATATTTTGCGACCACATTGACGCTTGTGTAAACAGAGCTGTGCCCAATTGTATCAGAGACCTAATCATTTTAGTTCTGTTTTACACATTTTAGTTGATTCAGAAATGAAAGTGAATAATTTCTCAACTGCTTTTCAAGTTTCTGATTCTGTGGAGAGACTGGCTGGATATGCTGGGTTGATAAGATTGTGAGATTGAAAAAAAGGAAAAATGCACCATAAAAGTATTCAAGCATTTCTTTTTTTCACATAAACTCATACTTCCTTCTTCAAGGCTTTAATTTTGAGGATTAGTTTTTAATGATTGATGGCAAAAATGAAAAAAAGAACTCATCACCTAAGAAACAACCACCTTTAATACTTTGATTCCCGATGATTTGTTATGCTTTCAACTCTTACAGCGTTATTTATAAAAACCTTATTTGTTTATTGCTCAATTAAACAATTTCTGAAAATATTTCAATTTTACAAAATGAGCTTCTCTAGTGTTTCCTTTTGTTTAAGAAAAGAAATCCAAATTGAACGATAAAGCTACAGTTACATGTATAGTTGTTCATACTAGTTTTTAAAGTTGATAAACATCATGTGTTATTCTTATCAACTAAACTGTCTCATTTTATTTTCCATTTTGAAATATAGACATATTACGATGATGGCGACTACATTGTCAGGCAGGGTGCAGTGGGCGATACAATGTACATCATCCAGAAAGGAAAGGTACAGTGTACATATGTTTACATAACATTTCGTTTACATGTATAAGCCATTGCTGCACGTGTAGCTCTGGTAGAATCTATGGGCCTTGTGCATAGCTTGACCCTCTTGCTTTTTAATAAACAATCAAATTTGTGTAAAGTTGGGATCCTGTAGTTAGTGGCATAACTACGGGGGGCATGTGCACACACACACACACACACATGTTTGTTTTACCTACACTATGTGGACATTCCTTTGTTTTCATGTAGTTAAGAAAACTCGGTACAAAAAATAACTTTACTTACACTCTTTCAACCCAATTTTTTTCTATGATTCCCAATAGTGTTTCTCTTCATTCTGCTACTGATAAACCTAACCCAAAAATGCCTCTAAACCTGTTTTCCAGAGAGGGCGAAACGTTATGTGGACACGGCTTAGTCCACATAACGTCAACACAAACTGCACTATGTGGACATCTTTTGTTCACAAGTCCACATAGTGAATGTAAGACAAACTCACTCACACACCCCCCTCTATTTAAACTCTTGAATTGCACAAAAACATATATTAGTTGCCAACAGTGCCCCCCTAGAAAAATTGGTGCGCCCCCAGGTGCCCCCCTTAGAAGTTTTACTCTAGTTATGCCGGCTCCTGCAATACCATTTATTTCAGTTACCAGTTTTTGTTAAGCAACTCTTCACATTGGTAAGCTTTTTTCATGTCTTGAAACACAATGGAAGTTGGCATTGGTAGCCCAAGGTGGTTACAGTTTTCAATATTGACGAATAACTTTTTCTTATAAGATGGAATTTTGCGTCATGGTGATATACATCAAATTATAGGTTTTGCCCTTCACTGACGTTTAAACACTGTATACTCAGTGTGTTACCTCCCGAGTGAAAGTTGGAAAAATCACTCAGGTGAGACTCGAACTTTTTCTTCAAAAAGTAGAACCGCATTGACTTTGAATGGACTCTACTCTGTATATATTTTAGTCCACACTTCTCTTTCAACTCTTGATTGGACATTAATAATACAGATATTAATTCCCAGCACGGCATGGTAGCTTCTCATGATCGATTGACTCAGGAACTCCAACTGCAACGTTTGATTCAGCCGCAGAAGTTACTTGATGCTTTCCAGAAATGTCAGTGACCGGCTCTCAACCTTTGGAGTGATGTTTACTTGTATGATCTGTCACACTCGGCTCTAGGGCACACAGAGTTCCTTCCAATGCTTTTTTTTTTTCTGAACACAGCTAATTAACGAGAGAAAAAAATATACAATCCCCACCAATCCTCGTGGGGGAAATGGAAATGTAGAAGTGGATTATCTGGTAGGGGACTGCTGTGGGTACATATTACCGGAGGGGGACTATTGATCAGGAAATGTTATGGTAATCTTGTAGCGAAGGGAGGGCTCATTTGAAAGTTGGTGCGCAGAGCCTGGAGGGAACACCGTTACTGTCAGTGAATTTGCATATTCATAGGCATCTGTACAAAGCCATCACAGTAAAACTAGGATGTGTTTAAAAATCTTGCTAACTTTGATTTTAAGTTCGCCGACAATGTTCTGTGGAAAGAATGTTGCAACCTGATGCCACTTTTTTCCTTCATATATCATCTGAATAAAGGTCAGTCACTGCAAACATGTTGAAAAGACATGAATCTGGGACTGAGAAACATTTCCAATTTTGTTAGGAAATGCTATAAGTTTCTTGACTCTCCATAGATTTGCACACTTGTAACATCACAACTATCACAAATTGATGCTTTTGGGTTGAGATTTCATTGTAATTTGTGATTTCATTTTCAGTGCAATTGAACTGAAAGAACTGCCTCTCTAAATAGAGTAAATTAACTTGTTGCATAAAAAAGCTGTGATGAAGTTATGGTTCTGTTTACCACATTTTTAGGCAGAAAATCTCCTATAGCAGATAAGTCTGCAATGACAGTTAGCATATTTCACAAGTAGGCGAGGAATTTTTGCCTGTCGGCATGTCCACATTTGGTAAAAAGGGATCCCGCCTCCGTTTTAGCACAGAATTTTTCTGCCTGTGCAACAAGCATAATAATACTAGTCGTACGTACAGAATTCCGTGGCAGGATGAGCTATGAAATTTGGCCCAGTTTTGGGGGTCCCTTACATTTTGTGAATCGCCAATCATTTCTTTCTTCTTTTTTTTGCATCGCAGTGCCATGTGACGCAACGACCAGGTTCCGGTGGCAGTCCACGACTCACCAACACGTTAAAGAAGGGAGATTACTTCGGTCAAGGATCATTAGATGGGTAGGCAAAACTAAACTTTCCTTTATTTTCAAGCATTTTTTGTATATCCAAAATGACACATCCTTAAATAGGAGAAATTTGAATCAATTGCCAAAGTATTATGTAAGATTCCTAACTATGGATTATGGTTCACGCTAGCAGTTAGAATATTTGTTTTCAGTTGGATAGTTGTAATTTTGCTGCTCAATAATGGTGACCATAAACATAACAAATGTAACAAAAAGCACTTTTTGATTTCTGTATGCTCATGGAGATTTTTCTCTTCCCACAACAGGCGAGACGAGAAACGGGACGCCAACGTGATAGCTGCTGACAAAGAAGGCATAGTCTGTCTGACTCTGGATAGAGAGTAAGTACTTCAGTAAACTGGACTGTGTTTGTCTACAGTAACAGTCCACAGTATGACAAAGTTATAAACTGAAGGGGAGAATTGGAGCCTTCGTGAAATGCTGATTTGCCAGAAGGCATGAAGTGAGGGAGGGTTTGAACAACAGCAGTCGTACAAATCTCTGCCTCTGGGCCACAGACTTGTCTGAAGTCTTGTGGCGGGAGGTAAATCCATTTATGCAATGGCCAGTAATCTCCCTACTAGATCCTACCTCTAGGCTGCTTGTAACATAAGTGAGATACTTTCAACAGTGCTTTGTTGCTGGCTATGTAGTTAGAGTTGGAATCATCCACTCTCTGTGCCCCCCCCCCCCCTGTCCCAGCCCCCTCCCCCCCCCCCTCCCTTCACCATCCACAAGGTCCAAATCCCCATGGTGATGGTGGCAGCATTTAATCTCATGCCAAATCTGTTCTCCATCACTCTCGGACAAGTTTGTCAGCAGGGATGACATACAAAATGAAGAAAGTTCCTCTCCAGTAGTTGCCTGCGGGAATACAGGTGATACCGAAGTTCTGCATTAGTGACAAATCTCCTAATTAAGAGATGGGATTACGTGTATTTTGTCCCTGGATTTAATGATACCATGTTACTGCACAGGTGGAAAAATCAGAGTGTTTGTCAGCTGTGGGATTTCCTGTGTCCCTTGGCAGGATTCTTTACCACAATCATTGGGGTTTTTTTACGCAGAGGAATGCATGGGCAGTTTTCAGAATTGATATGGAATCATTGTGTGAACCCAGAGATGAGCCTTATATCCAAAAGACTTTTATTCTTTTCATCTCTACAGTGTTTAATAATAGTAATTTAATAAAAGCAGGAATTTACTAGCACTTTTACGCCACAACAGGGTATCAAAGTGCTTTACAATTATTATTTCCACTGTTTCAACGGGCAAACACTCCTGAAACTTTCTCACCTCCCTCCCTCGCTCGATGCTGCCTGTTAGGAGCAAGGAAGCTAAATCAACCACAAAAATCATCTCTGCCCTGACAGGTACCCAATTTCTCCTGGGTGGAGAGAAGCAATGAGTGACAGAATTCCTTGCCCAAGGGCACACACACCATGGCCCCAGGCAGGACTCGAACCCACAACCTGCAGAATTACCCGCCGACCCCAAATCCGATGCCCTTAACCACGAGGCCACAGCACTCCACATTTATCAGTTTAATTTACAGAGCCTCGTTGTTCGATTCATTAATTTTTTTTTTAAGATTTGTTTATTTGTTTCTGTACTTTTCTGTCTTTGCAGTTCTTTCTTGCAAGCCACTGGAGGTCCTGACTCCTTCATCTCCAAGAGCGTCGATGACAGCAAAAACAAGAAGTGAGTTTTGCAGTCGTGATCAAGTTGAAATTCTGAATTGCAAAATAAAAGAAGTAATCTGGTTGACTATTGATACTTCATCCTGCCGTCTTAGTATTCATGGAATATAAAATGAGCACAACGGAAATCCGAATTCCCAATGCTCAGTTGTACAATATTGAACCAATTTTGATAGTATCAACTTATTATAAGCACGTTAATAAGAGGCAGGTTTGCAGTACTAGCAATTTGAGTTTAGAAATAGCAGATCTACAATCTTTTGAAAAACTTACGACCCCAAATCATTTCTGAGTTCAGACAGAAGAAATATCACAGTAAGTGAAGCTTTTTGGTAACTTTACTTCAGTCTGAAAGTACAAGATTGTAAAAATGTTGGTTGTTAATTGAAGCAACATGTGAACTAGTAATCTTGGATTTACCATATGGTATCATTTTTAGCGCACCGATTCGTTCGAAAATATGGAGTATTAATATAAATTTAAAAAACGCTACTAAGCAGAATACATTGGCAAAAAGAATAAGTGTTATAAGCAACCACAGAGACTGTCTTGGGCTGATTTGATGGTGTTGCTTATTAACAGTTAATATGGATGTGCATACAGTAAGGGAAGAATGCAAAATTAAACATGAGGTAACTCTGAGGTTTTACCCAGAGGTACCCCACAAAACCCTGTTAAACCTCGTAAAACCTCGAGGTAAACCTCAAGTTACAGGTGGTAACTCGAGGTTTTACCCTGAGGTACCCCAGGAAACCCTTTTAAACCATGAGTTGAACCTTGGGTTACCGCCTGTTTAATTTGCATCCTCCCCTTTTGCAGACATGGGGATTTTTATGTTACTTACTTAGGCAAATGTTTCCTTCGAGGTTAGCAAGCCTTTTGTTGTGCTTACTTTGTCTCTGTGAAAAAGATGAAGGTTCTGTTAGCAGAAAATTATTTGCTTACATGTGCCGCGAAGTCGAGCCCTACAGCTCCTGTATTTTTTTATGATTGTTTTGTCAAATCGCTTTTTTGATTGGTCAGGGTGGATTCAGAGTTTGCCGACATCAGACTACCAGACATCAGTGTTGTGGCCACATTGGGAGTGGGTGGTTTCGGCAGAGTGGAACTTGTAAGTATTCCAGTCAAAAGTCAAAACTTTCAATCGATTATTACTTTACACACAAACCAATAAAATATCACGAAATGAGCTTTTTAAAAGTTTGAAATTGCCCTTTGGCAGTACAGTGGTGCAAAGCCATAATTTGGAGGGGTTGTCGATTTTTGTTTTGTGTTCAGGTAACCTTAATCTGTAAGTCTTCTTTACCTTTCTCCAATTATTTTTGTTCTGTCGATCACCTCCAAAACTTATTTCATCCCGTGTTTATTATGTAGTCGTCCATTCACTGTACCACAATTGTAGGATTTTAAATGCCATTTTCTCAAGAATTGGTTTTACAACTTCAAGTAAGTTAGCGGTCTATATTTCCGTTACTGAACTCAGTACCCCTATGATGCGGTACACTATTGGAAAGCTCTTGTTCTGCAGAATCCAGAGATATAAATATGTTAATTCTTTAAAAAAAATCTGACTTCAAGCTCATTTTGCGGTGACAGGTCACAGTATTAATTCAATTTCAATACAATATTGGGCTTTGCCCTTAATTCACTGATTTAATTTCATCTGCCCAATGCGATAATATCATCATACAAAATAGGAAAACAATATACATGAACTGTTATCCTTCTGATTCATATATTCCCAAACTGTATGATTAGATTTTAGATAACCATCCTGTGTTAAAAAAGACCCGAAGGTGCCGTTAAAAAAACAACAGACAATTGGAAATGCTGTCTATGGGCAATTATATCTGGCCGCTATGGTCACTACTATATAAAAGGGTTTAAGAAAAACAGGAAATTACTAAAAACCTGCAGTAATGAATTGATAGGGGCTATTGTAGGGGGTAGTGTGTTGTGAAATCAGCTGTCTTTGTAGACTTTTTTCCCCCGATGCCTGTGGTACTCTGTAGAAGCAAGCCAGAGGGTAGAAAATCAATTCAAATTTGTTTATAGCGAGCTGAAATGTTTGTCAGCTTGTCAAAAAGAACCCTGGCGCAAATAGTTGATGACTGGGAGATAGTGAGTCAAATCAATTTTGTGTCAGATTTGATGTTAATAATACGTGTGTAATTCAATTCAGAGCAGTTCATTATTTCAATTCAGCTCAATCATCCTAACATTTATTTCTATCTGAACTTCAACAATATTTGAGGAAAAGAGAGAGAAAAAGTTAATTCAAAGTAATGGGAAATCTGAGTGAATAATTATGCTTATGTGTCTACGTTGTACAATTCAGTTAAGATGATCAATGCTACATTATTCCAGCTGGATCTGTTTAGATGTGTCATGTGAGCTGGCATTGCTTAGTGCCTGTGCACTTTCAAATAATTTAGTATTCTATTGTTGGAATTTAGATTTGATCGAATATTCAACTGTCAACTATTGAGGTTAAACAGATTATAAATACCATGTATGTATTGATATATTTTTGTGAGAAAGAGCCGACTAGCTGATATTTGACAGGTTTTAATGATGCAGATTACGGCTAATATTCTTCATGAAAGCTCTAAAATCATGTGCATAAAGCGGTTGCTTCCACAAAATGCAAACGATAAACCCTTAGGCGTGTATGTTCGTTTTTGTTGGTTGCTTGTTATATTTTGTGTTTTATTTAATTTCAAATTTTGTTAGGTCTGTCATATTTTACTGTTTTAAATATATATTTTTATGGATACTATATGTAACTTTTTACTGATTGCACATAGAGGATCATATATCTCATATAATTTTTTACATGACTAATAAAATGAATCTTGAAGCTTGAATCTTACAACTTATACATGTACGTATAAAATGACATCACAGTCGATTTTCATCATCTTCTGCAGACTGCTCAAATTTTTCAAATATTCTATTTGGTGAAATGCTAGTCGGATATTCTGTTGATGATCGAATATTCAAATATTCAGATATTTGGATATTCGGCACAGCCCTAGCATTGCCCTAAAATACTGCTTGCAGGGACAGGCAGACAGATATTTGGGGGAAAACATGTGCTTGAAGAGAAACAGCATGTGACAAAGAGAGTGCAGAAATATATCCCAAAGGAGACCAACTTGAATTTGAAAAGAAAAACATAAAATGAGACAAGGCATTTCGAGTTGTCAAGAAATGTTCTCTCATCTTCCAAAGATAAGAATGCTGTTTAATGGACTTGACAGATTGCAACATTTTCACACCCTTTTAACTGAGCGCTCAAGGGGCAAGTTTTCATTTGGGTTTAAGACATGGTGAGCTCGGGGCATATGTGCATGGATGAGCTGTGTTAAGACCTAGATGATTAAAATGAGGGAAGTTGTGCGTATCATTTGTTAAGAGCCTGCCATTGTAAAGAAACCTGTATAAATATGTATGGACAAGCTTGACTGTTAAGTCTGAAATGTGACAGCTATATAAAAGGCAAATGGGACAAGCAATGAATGTGCGAGAGCATTTCTGCGTTGTTGTCTGTAAAAATATGAAAGGCGATATTTTGTTGTCGTGAGATGGTGCCGCAAGGGTCAAGTTGTATCTTTTTTCACTCAAGGTAACAAAGGGCTCCTGCTTTTTGTTGTGATACTTCATGAGCACTACTTTGTATGCGCGCAAGCACATTAGGTGAATAGTTCGCCCGCGCTCACTCTTACATTATGTCTGATGAATAAAGCTGCAGTGGCACAGAACCTGAGAATAATCTCCTCTGAGTTCTTCATTGATTCATCTCACTTCATGGTGGCAGCGGTGGGCCAAATTCTGCAGAAAGACCCGAAGCCAGGGTAAACGCAAGGGCAAATCTCCGTCCAGACGTGGCCGCAGCCCATCGCGAGGAAATACAACTCGCAGACCAAGATCCAAAAGTCGATCCAATGCCCGCAAGCAGAAGCCAAATGACACCAACAGAGATGAACAACCCATCCATTCAGCAGAAGCTTCAGAGGAATATGAAACAGTATTCCACACAGTTACTGTCTCGAACCTCTGCATGAGCTCGATAGACAACAACAGGGAGGCATACACAACGCTTGACGTTATCTGCCCCGACCTCATCGGCAAACACCGACTAATCACAAAAGTTGACACTGGAGCCGGAGGAAACACGTTGCCACTCCGAACGATCAAACAGATGTATGGAAGTCGATGGAAGTCTTTCGTCCAGCCTGTGAAGACCAAGCTGACGGCGTACAACGGTACAGAGATTGTATGCCTAGGGTGCATTGAGCTTTTATGCCGCTACAAGACACCGAAGTGGACAAAGAACAGATTCTACGTCGTAGATGTCCCCGGACCAGCCATAGCGGGCCTGCCCATGTGCAGCGAGCTTGAAGTGGTCACCATCCACTCCACTGAATCGTCACCTCAACCCCCTGCATCACCCAAAGAACCAGGAGTGGGTGAATCCCAAAATCTGTCACATGACACCATCAAGTCGGTCCACGACCTCGTGAGGTTGTACCCCAACCAATTTGACACAATTGGAAACTTCAAAGCCAGAGCAACTCTTCATCTAAAGGAGGATGCTAAAATGAGCATTGACGCGCCCAGGAAGTGTAGCATACACCTGAAGCCGAAGCTCAAAATAGAGATCGACAAGATGGAACAGCAAGGTGTAATTAGAAAGGTCACCCATCACACCGACTGGTGTAGTTCGATAACCACGAGCTTGAAACAAGATGGGACACTTAGGGTCTGTCTGGATCCTAAGCGGCTGAACCAGAGCCTCAAGAGATGTCCGCACAAAATACCCACACTGGAGGAACTCAACCCAGCATTTTCTCAAGCCAAATTCTTCTCGAAGCTTGATGCTAAAGCTGGGTATTGGGCCGTCAAGCTCGAGGAAGAATCCCAAGAGCTGACCACCTTTCGAACGCCATTTGGCCGGTACTGTTTCCAGCGCCTTCCATTTGGTCTCTCCATCAGCCAAGACATCTTCCAGCAGTGCATGGACGACATCATAGAACAGGTCCCAGGATGCGTCGGCATTGCTGACGATGTTGCTGTATATGGCCGTACTGAGGAAGAACACGATGCCAACCTCCTGAATCTACTTCAAACAGCCAGCCGTGAAGGCTTAGTTTTCAACAGCAACAAATGCCATATCAAGACCAACCAAATCAACTTCTTTGGGTCACTGTACTCCGACACCGGCATCCGGCCGGACCCAGGCAGAATTGAGGACATCCACAGCATTCCAACACCTCAGGACAAGGAAGACCTGCAAAAATTCCTAGGCCTTATCACATACGTCTCTGCATATATCCCTAACCTGGCAGACAAAGCAGCGACCCTCAGGGATCTCCTAAAGAAGAATGTGCCATATCTGTGGCAGGATGACCATCAAGCAGCATTCGAAGCCTTGAAATATTCCATCACCACTGACGCGTGTCTCCAGTACTACAACCCAGAGATACACACTGTGCTGGAAGTCGACGCATCACAGAAGGGTCTGGGAGCCTGCCTCCTTCAAAACAACAGGCCGATAGCATTTGCGTCGAAGAGTCTTTCCCCGGCACAAGCCAACTACTCTAACATAGAGAGAGAAACACTAGCCCTAGTGTTCGGCATCACCAGGTTCCATAGCTATCTCTTCGGGAAAGAGTTTACACTCCACACTGACCACAAGCCACTTGAGATGATCTGGAAGAAACCCCTCTCGAGTGCACCACCTCGTCTGCAACGCTTGCTAATTAAGGTGCAAGGATACAACTTTGACGTACAGTACAGACCAGGGAAAACAATGACGCTATCAGATGCCCTGAGCAGATTGCCAAACCCGACAAAGAGTGATGACATACCCCTAGACAGACTGGTCGGCAGTTTTGATGTCTATGAAGGCCAAGACGCCATGTGCATGGACCTTGTGCATTTTGGGCAGTCTAAGCAAGAGCAACTGCAGAGAGAAACAGCAAGAGACCCTGTACTAAGTGCACTGTGTCAGATAATATACAGTGGCTGGCCAGACTCCGTCAAGGAACTACCTCGAGACCTACGGGTCTACTGGCCATACAGGGATGAGCTTGGTATCTCCTGGGGAATAATCTTCAAAGGAAGACAGGTCATCATTCCAGACTCACTTCAGACGGATATCTTACAACAGCTCCATACAGGCCATATGGGTATAGAGAAGACAAGACATCTAGCCAGAGAGTCGGTCTACTGGCCCAACATCAATCGCCATATTGATGAACTTGTCAAAGCGTGTTCCTACTGCCAGGAATCCCAACCCAAACAGCAAAAGGAACCATTGGAGCCACATCAAGTACCTTCGACCCCCTGGACCAAACTTGGCACTGATCTGTTTGAAATCCACGGAGACAACTATCTACTGATAGTTGACTATCATTCGAAGTACCCTGTCGTTCACAAGTTGAACAGCACTACCAGTGCAGCAGTTGCTGGCATCACTTCACACACATTCAGCCTCCTTGGAGCACCAGCTGAGGTTATGTCAGACAACGGCCCCCAATTCGTAGGCAAACACTACGAAGACATGTGTAACACATGGGGCATCAAGCACACAACTTCGTCTCCACGTTATCCACGTTCAAACGGTTTCGTGGAACGTTCAGTCAGAACCGTCAAGTCAGTGATCAAGAAATGCCAGAAGTCTGGACAAAATGTCGACATAGCACTCTTGAACCTCCGTGCAACCCCTGTGGACTCCAAACTACCGTCACCAGCTGAAATTCTCTTCGGCAGACCGATACAAACTACCTTGCCAAACAACCACCTGCAAGCAAACCCCCAGAAAGCTGAGGATATCAGAGACCAGCTAGAGGCAAGACGACAAAAGATGAAGACCGACCATGATGCCAAACAAGCAGTAAAAGAACTCCCACAACTCTATGTTGGCCAACGAGTGCGAATCCTGGACCAGCAGAACCACACTTGGTTGCCTGGTGAAGTCACAACAGTCTGTAAGGAACCTAGATCATATGAAGTCACCACACCCAATGGACACAGACTACGTCGCAACCGTTCGCACCTACGTGAGATGCCCAGCCAAATGAAATCCCTGGCTATGCCCAAACGAGTTCGATTCGCTGATGAATCACTTCCACTGTCCAACAAAAAGCTAGACACAGAAGCTGTGAAACAAACAGACCGAAACAAAACAGACCGAAACAACACAGATCGAAACAAGTCTCCGACTGTCACTCGCAAAACAAAATCTGGACGCACAATCCGAAAACCAGCCAGATACACTGAATAATATCACACACCCAGATTATACATAGCAGATACTTCAAACAATTTGGTTCAGAAACGATATTTCACATTTAATTTCATATGGAAACAAAAAATAACCCACACGATTTGAAACAGAACTCAAAGTTTCATATGTTTATTAAACCCGTTTCAGTACATTTATTGTTGTTTAAAGTTAAATTTGTTAACAGTTCAAAAAGGAAGAAAGCAAGAAAGTACCAAAGTCAAATTTCAAAAGAAAGAAAGTACTAAAGTTCACTTTGTTACTGTTCAAGTTAACTTGTTACTGTTAAAGTTAAATTTGTTAACAGTTCAAAAAGGAAGAAAGCAAGAAAGTACCAAAGTCAAATTTCAAAAGAAAGAAAGTACTAAAGTTCACTTTGTTACTGTTCAAGTTAACTTTGTTACTGTTAAAGTTAAATTTGTTACCGTTCGAAAAGAAGGTACTAAGACTGTGTGCCACATATTGCAGAGAAAATATTGCAGAGAAACAAAAGTTGTAGTTGTCAGTAAGATATGACCACCAATGTTTCATATGCCTGTCAATTGAAAAGCCATCACTACACATTTCATGTAAATGCTTGCTGATTAAGTAAATTCCAGTTTTATGTGTACACCAATAATTATTCCTGAAATTGTACTTTCAAAAGGGGAGGGATGTTGTGATACTTCATGAGCACTACTTTGTATGCGCGCAAGCACATTAGGTGAACAGTTCGCCCGCGCTCACTCTTACATTATGTCTGATGAATAAAGCTGCAGTGGCACAGAACCTGAGAATAATCTCCTCTGAGTTCTTCATTGATTCATCTCACTTCACTTTTCACCCACACTAGCTTAAAAAACACCTTTTTTGTATCAATCAGGTCAACTATGCTGAATAGTATGATTTTTATCCACGATGCAACTCCGAGGAAGTCTTAACCTGTTTCAGGGCATTCGTTCTTCAGAATGAAGTATCGGGTCGAAAAGATAACAAGAAAAAAAAGCAAACAAAGAATATACTTTTAAAGGTCATCCTTCTTAGTAACTGTACAGATTGTACATGTTACAAACCCTTAGGACCCTCCCTTAGAGTCAGTGTAATTCTCTCTCAACGTTTACTCTAGAGATTTTTCTTTATCACTACGCGATATATGTTTTATGCATGTGGGGTGTGATGCTTAGGATTCTACTTTGCCTTTCCCGACTTTTGTACTTTTGTAATCGTCTTGGACATCTGCGGTTGTTATCCCCCCCCCCCCCCCTTCCAGGTCCGAGTCAACGGCAGGAACCAGACGTACGCCCTCAAGCAGCTGAAGAAGAAACACATCGTGGAGACGCGGCAACAGGAACACATCATGTCAGAGAAGAAGATCATGTTGGAGTCGCGATGCAATTTTATTGTCAGGTGAGTCAGGAAGAGCTAAGCCTTGTCTAAATTAGACGGCTACGGCTCACAATTACACATGGGCCTATGGAAGCAGCCAGAGCCACTTCCCATAGACTGTTACTGCAAGCCACAGCCGTATACTTCAGTTGCGGCCCTAGATTGGATACCTGAACTCATTCATATGTGTATATTCTTGATGTACCCTAACGTGAAGCAGTCCCTAACGTGGCACACTTCGATTTTTCGCCTCTAGTGCCTTGCTAGAGCAGAATTTTTACCTCAAGCTCTAAACATTCCCATTCATAAATCTTGAGTTCTAAACATTTCCGTTCATAAATCTTGAGTTTATGTACCTGCTACAAAGTTCCAGAAAACTGTTCTATTTTGGCAGGATTTTTCAATTTTTTTTTGAAGTGCGCAATGAACCCTTTTAAAATGCACCCAAAAATAAGAAAATAATTTTCTGACAAACTTGTAGTTGGGTATATTAATGGAGATAATAATGACTTGTCAGCATTTATCAACTTTGAAGAAATTCTTAAATGTTAACGTGGGATTGTCCAAGATTTGTTCAAGTGTGCCACGTTAGGGAACACTTGGCTTAATTTGTGCCTGATATCCGGACACCACCGTCTCTGAATTTTGGACTGAATTTCATGATGCTGAAATTGTTCACAAAGGTTCAACAGCAAGCATTATTAAGGTTATAGTACCAGTATTTAACTGTATGAATTTGAAGGTTTGTCAACAAAGAGGTTTGGCAACACTGCATGAGGAAAGTCGAGGGAAACATCAAATTGCGCCATGTTTAATTGAGGACAGGTAGTGTCCTCATAGCTTCTGAAATGTTAATTTTTAAATCATAGTTAATAAATGCCATCTAATAAATCCGAATGTTGGAGCTAGTGCATGTGAAACATCAATTTGTGTTTTGGATTTGATTTTCCAGATTATACCGTACATTTAGCGACAGCAAGTACTTGTATATGCTGCTGGAGGCGTGTCTAGGAGGGGAACTGTGGACCATCCTCAGGGACAAGTAAGTTATCGCTACAAAAAGGAAAAAATATAACAGTGGACGTGCAGACAGTAGGGATGGCACTATATAACACCTAAAAAGATCCTTGTCATTTGACAATTGTGTCAGTGAAAGATTCAGTGAAATATTTTCTTTTCCATTCAACTCGGCTACGCCTCGTTGAATGGAACAGTCAATTTATCACCTCATGAAAATATTCCTTCCATTGCACTCATAAACATTCATTATTTATAAACTGTCTGGCCACCCGCGAGAGCTCCAATGTGTAGGGGACACCATATGTGCACACATCTGTACATATATGTTAGACCTTCACTTCCTTAATTCTGTTCTCTTCGTTGCCCCAGAAATGATTTAGTCCATAGCATTTTACTGGGGGTACATCTTAGATTTCTACAGACCAACTTGCAGGGTCCCATTGTCCCATGCTGCACTTTGTTCCCGGTACCCGTAAGGCCAAAAACACTGGTTTGTGCACATATGGGGTATTCTTAGACGTAACTTAATTTGTCAAACATGAATAGGTGCACGAAGTTGTGGCTTTTGATTTCATTATTCCATTCCCTAAATTTTAGCCTCGGCTGACCCTCTTTTTTCTCACCTTGTACTGTGAGTTCCTATTTGACAAATGCATGAAGGGCAGATGGCCCTGTGAAGTATGATTTTTATGAAACAATCATTCCACTCCGATGCCCATGATTGATTTGTATCCATATTCTGCAGGGGTTCATTTGACGACGGTACTACGAGGTTCTACACAGCGTGTGTAATAGAAGCGCTATCCTACCTTCACAATAAAGGCATAGTGTACAGAGATCTCAAACCAGAGAATATCCTACTAGACAGCCAAGGCTATGGCAAACTGGTAAGCATGGGAGCTAGTACGTACTTCACCCAAAACTCAAAGCAAAGTCACCATAACATATTGTACAGGGTGGTGAAAAACGAAGGAAACCGTTACTTTTGACAGCAATTTTCACCATACTTGTTGAGAATATTTCGAACATTCAATTGAATGGTATTAAAATATTGATCTTTAAACATAGGGGACGAAAAAATGATTGCAAATGCATATTTTGACTCCGAGATATGGTAGTTCAAAATTTCATGTGCCAAACCTGTTTGTCCACGGACGGCTTTATTCTATCCGCTTGACTGAGCTCAGGAGCTTGATTTGAAGACAAAAACCCCTACACTAGACTTTAATACACATGGACAACAGTGATTTTGGTGACTTGTATTCAAATTAGCATAATAACTTTTTTAAAGATTTTTTTACCATGTATGGTTGAAGAGCTATACTATATTATAAAAAACAGTTCAAATAAGTTAAGTAAGTAGGTTAAAATTCCTGTCAAAAGTGGGTTTCCTCATTTTTGCACCACCCTGTAGTTGCATGTGTTGTTTGCAGTTGTCTCAATAGAGATGTTTCGCATCTGAACAGATATATGTCTACGTTTTCTTTCAACTATCCGTAACCGTTATCGACCATTTTGTTGTGTTGCATCGTGTACACATACGCTTAGTTATCAGAGCCTAATCATGTTTGCAAAGAACCAAATCCTCTTCATTTTAAAGTTTAATTTGGGTGAAAAAGCTACCAATTACAATACCCGCCTCGTTTTTTCCTTCAACAGGTTGACTTTGGTTTTGCCAAGAAGATCAACCAAGGCCGTAAGACGTGGACGTTTTGCGGCACCCCAGAGTATGTAGCACCTGAAATCATCTTGAACAAGGGTCACGACTTCTCGGCCGACTACTGGTCGCTCGGCATCCTCATGTTCGAACTCTTGACAGGAAGGTGAAATATACTTAGTCTGAATTTATTTTTCAGTCAAAATTGGTCAAGGATGTTCTCAGTCTTGCTTACATGTGTAGAGTTGTGAACCCTCACAAGTTAATCATAATTCTGTCAGTTTCAAGTCAAGTGACACGCTGCTTGAGAATACTTATGATATGATTTGTTATTTGACATGTAGTTGGCTTCACTCTTAATCTCTGTGTATATATTGGAATTATGTGTTTTGTGTCCTTGAGCAAGGCGTTTTGCTGTAATTGCTTTTAATCTTCGAGAGTTGGCTTCCTGTTAGGAAATGTTTTGTTAATTTTTTAAAGTCCAGGTTTTGATGGCATTTTTGTGTCACCTAAACAAAGTTTTGGGAGACACTAACCAGTCCTAAAATTCTGTATGACTGTAGACCCGTATGTTAAAGCTTTACTTAAACGAATTACTGAAGTCAAAGGTCATCTAGGGGTCATTTGAGGTCGTTGTTTAAAACTGCACAAAATTTGAAAATACAACACATATAGGGATTGACCACAGAAAAAGGCAACACACGCGATGCGCGGATCACTTGTTTATATTAGGGAGATGTAAATTTGTAATATTGGGCTTTTCCTTTTACCAACGTTATTTTTATTGTTTTAATGCACTTTAGTGCTGTCTAAAGGCTTGTGAAAAAAATCATAAGTTTGGCGAGATTGGAATTTTCTTTCTTCAAAATTGACGTCTTGTTTTAATAAAATATTTGTTTATTTGAATATTTTCAACCTCCTTTCCACCCCATTGTAGCCCGCCATTCACGGGGTCCGACCCCATGAAGACCTACAACATCATTCTGAAAGGGATGGACATGATAGAGTTCCCCCGCAAGATCACCCGCAACGCTGCCAACATGATCAAGAAACTGTGCAAGGACAACCCAACGGAGCGGCTTGGCTACCAGAAGAACGGGCTCAAGGACATCCAGAAACACAAGTGGTTTGACGGCTTCAACTGGGAGGGGCTGAAGAAGAGGACCCTGGCTCCTCCCATTGTACCCCATGTGAGTATGCACAAGAGTTTTGGAATAGACTGGCCCGTTAAGCCACGCCCCCTTAAGCCACGCCCCCTTAATGAAATTTGCTTAAAATGTATTCAACTTCTGCAAGGTGTATCTTTGCCTTGGCATACTCATTCTTATCGCATTTACAAGCCTTGAGTTTTCTCTGTACAGTCGCAATTGAGGGAGTCACAATTGAGTCATTGTATGATTTGACTCGGAACAATTATTTTCTGCTTAAAATAATGAAATTGGTGGATATATGCTAATTTTACCACTTACACTTGAAATCTTAAACTGGTTGACATTTCATTGAAAAGTCAAGTCAAATTGATTTCGGGCACCACAATTTTGTTTTCACAAGCTTCAAGTTGAAGTGCATATGCTTCATACAAATGGGCTTAGTACTCGGGCAGTTGCAATTTTATAACACCCCTTAAAGTGCAGACACAGTATGATAAAGCCTATTTGGTTGAGGCCAAGTTTTGCAGAGGCAAATTTATACTCGTTTTGGTGATAAAAATACAGAATGTATTCATATTTAGTATCATAGAGACAAAAGAACAAGGGATTCCTACTTTATTTAGTCACAACATCTTTCATCAAAGTTGGTCATCTTCACTCTGTTATTTCCTCTTCATTTTTTACCAAAGGTTGGGTCACTTGCACAATACCGTAGAAAGGTCAGACAGAAACTGTGTTTTGATACCCTGTGTGAAAAAGAACCCAGTTTTTCTCCAGATTCTGCAAAGTTTTTATCCCTCATTCGATCCCCACCCAACCCCTAAAAAACTTCTACCCTTGTTTTGAAACCCCAGGGCACTCAAATTTGTCCCTGCTTTTTTCCCAAATTTTGCTTGGAGTTAATGTGCAGTTTCTGCTTGTTCCGTCTGTGGCTTGGAATTAATATGAAGTACAAACGAATCAAGCAAAAGCAACGGCCAAGACAACCAGAAATATGTTCTTTTAGTAGTTTTTGGCAAGGTGCACTTTTTCTTCTATGGTTGGGCTCGGAAATGAATGACAGTTGAATCTTTGTAATTTTGATACCAATTGTAACAATTCTCCCCCAAATTTGAACTTTGTGGTATTGCCTATTAGTGTTTTCTTGGATTATTCAATATTTGTTGTGAATTTTGAGGATTGTCAGTTTTGGTTGAGAGATTTTGTAATTTCCTAAGGAGACTTCTCCTTTTCACTTTTTTAAAACTTCCTTGCTTTGTTGACTCACCTCAATGCTGTTTAATTTGCTTTTTCTCCCGGGCAAAATATCCCTTTGGTATTTGCATGAGTGGTTACATAATTGCAATCACTAAAGCATGCTCTACCTTTAAATACCAGATTATATTTTTCACTTTTACATGTACACATACTTCTATAAGTTATATCGGTATGGTCAAAAGTGGTTGAATTCTTAGAAAATGCAGGAAGGTGCATTTTAAAAACAAAATTTATACAGACCATATTCCTTAGTTTGTCATTCAAAAAAAAATCTGTAACAAAATTATTATTATCCTATTTTTCTTCAGTGCAGAAATTTTCTCGTTTCATTATACAATGTACAACCCTTCTAACTTACTGTTATGTATCAGTTTCAAGACTGTCGCCTTTGATTTCAATTTCTTTCTTCTATTTCTGCAAAAGAGAACTGTGCTGGATTTTTTTCCTTCTCTTTCTAACCAGATTGGTATTGCATTTTGTTTTGTCCTCATCAATCCTGCAGGTCCGGTCCAACTCAGACACAACAAACTTTGACGATTACCCACCAGACACGGATCCTGTACCGCCTGACGATATGTCCGGCTGGGACAAAGACTTTTAACGAAAGAAAACCTTGCAATGTGCCTGATAATGACCTGGCCATGCACTCAATTCAAGAAACACAGAAATCAAGCAATCTATGTACAGCACAGCTGTTATACAGCTGTTGTGGAATTCCCGGATCTCGATCTTGCAGTTGGCTTAGAAAACCTGAGAGCATTCAATGAGCCCGCGTTATGGGAGGGTCATGCTGTTGCACAACTTTGTCACACCACGGGAGAGTCTAGATCCCAACCTCGGCAAGTGGGTCTTCATGCACTAATTGGAGATGGTTAGGTGACGATGCAGTTTGGAGAGTTCATTCTAGCACAACCTGGGAGAGTCTAGACCCCAACTCGGCAAGTGGGTCTTCATTCACTGATTGCAAATGGTCGGGTGCCGATGCCGTGATGCGCGTGCCGCAACCTGCACCCGTTTCCAATTTCGGCTAAATTTTGAGGTGGTTTTAAATTTTTTCTTAAATTCTGTTTTTGTGAACGTGTATTTCAAGACGAATCTGAAGAGATTTCGGAAAAATCGCAAATGCGATATCAAGACCGGATGTTTTCAGCAAGACAAGACACTGCTACCCAGTGACGTCATATTGTCAATTTCCTCGCGGACATGTAAAGAATTTACCTTAGTGTAACCTGCAGTAAAATGGAGAGCTTTTCCATCATCATCAGCATCATCATCATCATCATCATCAAGAGGACTTCAATCAAACAATTCGGATGCATGACAACACATCATGGAATACACACGATTACCTGGCATAATGAAAACTTATAATGGTTCCTATTGTCTGCAAAAGTACATCCAATGTGGAGTAGAAAAATACATATCTATGCATCTTCGTTGAAAAGAAATGTTCTGTCAAATATAAGGTGCAAGTGTGAACAGTGTGAATGATGTTTAATACAGTTATAAGGCGGTCAAGCCAAGTGGTTTTTTTTTTTTTCAATTGAAAATATGAATTTGTTGTGTGTACGTCAGATGAAAAATGTACAATAAAGCACCCAGCCCATTTATTGTAAATAGACAATGTCATCAGGTTAAATTATGAAAAAGCTAATAAATTTGGTAAATGTGGAAGAAAAAGTTTACAAACTCATTGGAAATGAGTGTCAGTCCTGAGAAATTGGAGAAATTGGACCACTTCTCCAAGAAATACGGTCAGTAAGTCACAACTATTAATTTTGCTTGAAGATGTGAATTCAGTTTGGTGAGATCATCGATTGCATAGATATCCTGCTGCCTTTTTGCTTATTTCTCGCAGTCATCCCTCCTTTTTTGCTACTTTCAGGCAGTGTTCAAATTGGACTAAATGTTCACTTTTTAGTCTGTGTTATTCTGTGCGAGACTTTTCGGAATCTGTTAGTTTCATGGCAACAGGTCCCATATGTAGCTTGAAACCCACAGACCAGTAACAAATGAATATAACACAACACTGATTCAAATATTTGTTTTGTAAAGTGGAATTGTATTGATTCGGAAAGCAAACCGGTGTAATTTTGTATCCACAATAAGCAACTCAACCTGTTTTTATGTTTTTATTTATTTATTCTTTTGCAAAATCATGACAATGATGTGCTTCCCGTAGCCTGAGCAGATGTATCTGTCAAGTGATTTTCTAGTGTCACTCATGACCATTCTATCACATGTGTGTGTTCCTGATTCAGCTGTCGGTAAACTGGGATGACAAACTGTGCGTACTAAAACTCTCTTTGGAAACTTATTCCTGTGACTGGGAAACTTTTGAATTTGATTTAATTTTTCTGGCAAGTGAATTTTGAATCAGAATTTGAAAAAAGAGTGATAGTTTCTTTAGCTTTTGGTCATTTTTTAAACTCTTTTTGGATGCACTTTGTATTTCTGGACACGTGGAAGACTATTTCCTGTGTCGTTTGAGAAAAAAAAGGAAGAAACATTTCAGAGTTTAATATAATATCAGAATTTCTGATGCTTTTCATGTCTTTTTCCACACCAACATTTGTTTCGGATCTGTTCAAAATCATTGCGGTGTTTCAACATGGATCTGTAAATTAAACTCAGTATTCACTCGATACAAAAACTAAGGTTTTGCAAGTCGGAATAGCAGAAAGTTTGGAACTAAAAAAGTTAGGTGTTTAGTTTTAAATGATAAAATCCTTTTAGCAACTCCCAAAGGTCTACGCAATGGAGGAGCAAAACATCAAAACTACAGCAAGAAAAATCATATATGTTCTATTAATTTGTATACTGTGCTGCATGTATTTGAGAATATGATCAACTGACTCTCATAGTGGATTTTTTTTTTACAATTCCAAAATGATTTTAAAACCACAAGCTACATTTTTCATGTACATGTATTGGTGTATGTTTGGAACTTTTACAAATAGATCGATCCATTAAAGGTAGAGTAGATCAATTGTCATTTGTGCATTTGTTTTGTTTGAAGCAACAAAAGTACTCGCATCTAAAGATGGGTGCTTAACAGCTAACCTGAATAAGTTTTTGCTCTGTTGTATATTCCGGGAAAATAATATACTAGGATCTCAATTTCAACTCAAAAGTTGCCGAGTCATAGTTTGAATTGCGCCTGAAATCAGCATCCGGAAAATGTTCTCATTCAGCCGAATTTGCAGCAATGCGATGTCACGAACTGAACCGACGAATAATAGCAATCGCGTGCGCGTCGAGTCAATGCTTACTCGCGCCCATTCACGGATTCGCCCAATTACAAACTAACTTCTTGCGGAAATTTCCGTCATTTGACTCATCTTTGGAAACGACCTTCTTTTATTGTTTTCTTCAAACCAAACCGACAGCATACCAGAAGGGATAATTTCACAGGGAGTTTAGTGCTATTCCTATCTTAAAACCAAGTATGCTTCTTAGCAATAATTTGGTCAGTTGCTTTCTGGATAGCTGCAAATTATATACTCTACCTTTAAGGGATCAGTCTATTGAAGGTTGTTCACACAGTTGTTGTGGCAAGGTAACTCAACTGTTTGTGTTGATGGATTATTGATGAGTAAATGTAACAAGGCAGTGAAACACCTTCCCATTGGAGCGTAGGCTCATTTTGTGCAAGGAGTTATAAACGTTTCTGGAAAGATTAATAGTACCGTGCCATGTTTGAAGATGCTATTTTGGGGAAAGTGGAAAGTTTGAATACATTTTAAATGCTTTTGTGGGTAATTTCAAGTACGTTGCCTGATTCTTTTATATTCATTCATTTCAGGTTTGTAAATTTTATAAAACTATCAGGTGTTAGAAAAATTGGCTTGGTCTAGGAAGGTACTATGTCCACCTTTAAAAAAAAAGAAGAAGTCTACCATCAGTACTAAACACATGGTCACTCTTAAGAGCATGATTGATTTTGTGTGACATGGCTTTTAAATATTGACTAATCTGAAAATGTGTCAGTTTAAAAATTTGCTGATTTGTTTGTTTGTTTGCTTTTTTTATATTTGGTGAACCCAACACTTTGTTTACTGTTTTACCATATTGGAGAATTATTTTGTGAACATCGGAAAGATGCTTAGGCGCTCTAGTCTGTCACCTGTAGAGTGTTTAGGATGGTTAACTAGTGAACCTATTAACTAGTTAACCTGGATTGTGGTAATTCAGTAATCCAATTGGTTATTGGTACCAACCTCTGTAGTCAGACTGAGGTCAACTAGTGTGGGTTCAAGTAGATTTTATGGAACTATAGTCAACTATGGGCTCCATACGCAAACAAAACTATAGTCAACTATGGGCTCCATACGCAAACAAAACTATAGTCAACTATGGGCTCCATACGCGAACAAGAGAGGGCGCTTATATACCATGTTTGAGAGCCCCGTGAACGGGACACACCATGTGCGCGTAATGGTTCGCGCACGTATAGCTCGAAGTACGCACAATATATTTTATTCTGAATGTGCTCAAAGCCATAGCGTCTTCGTGTGAGCATCAGCAATGCGTTGCAATGTCAGTCCAAGTGGTCTCCCCCAACTCTCCCTTCCTTACCGTTGAGGGGGTACTTGTGCACGGAGCCCATAGTTCCTCTCTCAAATTTGCTCAAAGAAAGAAATTTTTGAATTCATTACTTAAAGTGTAATACCATTGACTTAATCTTGGGGAAAAGCAAAACGAGGAATAGGATGGAGGAATTGCATTGCTTAAAAGACATTGGTAGTGTAATTAGAATTGTACATAGCTTGTGGTAATATAAAGTCGTGTGTAGTTTTTTTCTTTTTTTCTTTTTGCTTGGTATTTTTTTCCCATTTGATTTACTTCACATCAGAGTCATGCCATGCTTTTTTTTTTTTTTTTTTTTTTTGTATTTTGGAACATCCAGACAGTGCCTCTAATAATCATTTCTTTTTGAGCATCGAGAGTTTGAAATGTTGTGGTTTTCCCCGATATTAAGGAGAACTTGACTGTTTTCGAGTAGAATGGAAATCATTGAATTTTACCACACTTGTTAATGGTAATTTATTGATGTCATATATAATTTATAGCAACTTTTGAACAATTATGGGTAAATGAGGAAAAAAAAGGTTTCTGACAGCTGTTTTTTGTTTTGTTGGTTTTTTTTCAAACAAATTGGAAACAAATTTTTAATATACCTGGCTTGGCATAATGGTGTTTTCAGGAACCAGAAACAAAGCTTAAACAAGTTTAACCCTTTAGCACTTGTATTTAATTGTATTGCATTGTGTTTACTCCTCAATGAATTCATGAAACCATAGAGTGCTAGGGCAGTTTGCATTGTGTTTACTCAATGAATTCATGAAACCATAGAGTGCTAGGGCAGTTTGGGGCGGTATGAGGGCTAATAGGTTAATCAAATGTCACTCCATAAAAAGTGTAAATGCCAAGAAAATTAGTCCTTGTGAAAATTGTGACCGGTCCCAATTACAAACCGAATGCAAAATAACAAAATTTCACAGAAATCTGTTACTTTGAACTTGGTTGGTCAATTTTAAATCTTAATTAAGGTGACTAGGATTTTGTGCCAAATTTATTGTTCTTATTGATTCATTTTTTAAAAGTTATTTTCAGATGTGTTTAAAAGGAGGCATTTGGAACAAGTATTTTTGTTGGAATTTCTCTGCCTGGAAATGTTTGGAATTGTTGACAAGTATCTACAGTACTGTGGGTTCAAAAATTGCGCGACGGAACATTTTGTTGCACATGTAAGCTACTAAAATCAGCATGAATTTCAGCAGCCTATATTCATGTTTTGATTGAGCTTTGCAAGCCTTTGTAAAAAGGTCATAAATGATTCAGATTATTTCAATTCAGTGCAGCGTTTTATAATTAAAATTTTAAAAACGCCCTTAATTTCAAGTGCTGAATCTTAAGCACATCGTGTAAAGGAGTAATTGTTTTCTTTCTTTGTGAACAATTGCCACGAGTGTTAACAGATAATCTTTTGTTCTTTGAATTTTTTGTAATAATTTTTAACTATGCTTAAATCGTGGTCTTAATCAATTTGAGACCGAAAGTCATTTTCTAAAAATCATTTGGTAGTGAATGTGTTTGTACAGCAGCTCCTGCAACCATTGAAATGTGGTATGGCGCCCTCTGTTGTCCCCTTTCGTTTCATCAGTACTTCAGTAAGGTATACAAATGAAAATCAAGTACAAAACATAATTAATCAAACAAATGGGTGTATAAATTTCGTGTCATGCAGTTGAAGTGAGAAAAAATCCGTTAATCAACCATTTTGTTATTCAGCAATGGTAAACATATGATGGCGCTAAACCAACTATTAACGACTATTTATGTGTATTTAAAAGTAGCTTTTTATTAAAAACATCTTTTATTATGTGTATTGAAAACTTACATTGGATTCAAGAATGCGAGTCGTGTTTTTATAATAATACCTATCTTATTTTTTGACTACGTAAATAAAGTACAATTATTCTATAGCATACCCAATAAAAATAGCATTCTTGAGTGAAGATAATTTTCTTTGCAGTTTAAGTTTTCTTTTAACCCAAATGTGTGGCACGAATCATGCAATTTGCACCGGCACCAGACTAACATGTCACTTCTAAACACCTTGGACAGAGGCAATAAATTCATAAGAAAACCATTGAAGCGTGAAAACATACTCCAACCTCAGACTATAGAGTCAAGTGAGGAAGGTTCTTCAACCAGGTTGCATCAAGACCCTCATGCTCATTAGCCTACAATCATCTCACACACCACTCACAACTGCAACTAGCTGTATTCTGTTTTCCATTTTTAGTCTTGCTCTTCAAGTGAGCTTGTCTCAAAAAAGGAAAAGTGTTTCTAACTTCCAGTCTGATCGATGGGGCTGCGAAAACAGATCTTGGACCTCTACTATTAATACTGAACAGCAAAACTTTAAATAGGAAATTTGTAATATTTAAGCCTCCACTCTTAACAACAACAGAAATCCCCAAACCTAACTCCTAGTCCAACCTCAAGTCCCCATTAATTCCAAGTCCTACAAGCTCCAAGACCAATAAATTCCAAGTCCTGTGAATTTGCAGACCCATCCAAATCAAAGCCCTGCAACTCATGGTCCAACTCCCTCTTAGCTATCAACCAGCCAGCTCCCAACTCCTCAACCTCCCAGCCTCAGACCCTCAGATCTAGAAAAATTTCAAGGGGTACCCCTTGTCATCTGAGATTTTGGCCAGAGCTGAAAATTTTCTAAGTATGAAGAACCTAAGGGTTTTAATTACGAAAACCGGAGAGTTTTTCAAGAAAGTGCCATGGCAGAGCGGAAAAGAAGAGAGCTGGCATGCAGAAGGTACACGGTTCAACCCTGCCCAATGCCACTATTTTATTTATTTTTATAAATTAACACTGCTGTGAGTAAAAATTCTCCTCCCGGGGTTCCCGGCTGGGATTTGATCCGGGGACCCCGGCCTGGCGGTCAGCGAGCTAGACCACCAGGCCACTGGCTTCTTCGAAAATTTGTGCTCGGAACTTATATTTAAAGGTTAGATTGCGCAATTTAAAAAAAAAATTGAGAGGCATGTGACCCATGCCTCATTTGAATAATAATCAAAACACTGAATATTCAGATGAAAACCACTATACAAACAAACATGTGGTTCTGGACCAAATTTCCGATTATTTAATTAACTTTCCACTGTAATTTGTACATAATTTACAGCACTATTTTAACATTTTTAAAATACAATGCACCCATAACACATTATGATTATTAAAGTTGTGTTGAATCAATAACAAACCATGCCGCGTTTCTCAATGAACTACAATGTTGGCCTTCATTAACCTCCTTTAATAGCTTACAATCACATAAAATTCATTTCTCCCTGCCTTAAAACTTCAGTGTTTAATTATACCAAATACACGAATACAGTGACTTTTTATGAACAATTTCTAGTTCTACACGTACATAAAAAGTTAAATAAGTTAAACACTGATTATAAAGTGTGCTACACACAATAGGTG